TCTCTCTCTCTCGCTCTCTGCCTTCCTGCCTCCCACTCGCCTCCCTACAATAAAGATCTGCTACCGGACCTCTCGGTGCGTGGGTGGCATAATTGGGTAAGGGGCACCCAAAGGGGGCTCGAGACCCCTTTCATTGGTGTCAGAAGCAGGATCTGGGATTGCCAGGCCCACAGGCTAAAATGCCTGAGGCCCGAAACCCAGATTCCAGGGCGCCCCGCTCAGCCCCCGCCCGACGTCCGCGACCATTCTCCTCGTCCCCATCTTCGCAGCCACCACCGACCTGCTGATCTTCCGACCCACACTTTTTTGGGTAAGTTCCCCTTTCGGAAAAGTCTTCAGGGTAACGGGGACCCCAGACCTCAGACCACCCACTGGGATCACATTTGGGACACAGCCGGGCGCCAGGCTCTGTCCTCACTCTCTCGCAAACCAGGTTTGCCGCATTTGAGCTAAGTCCGGGACTTAGCTTCACTTAAACTCCTATCTTGTGTGAGGGACGCCTTCACAAGAAACCGAGTTTCCGTCCTCTAGACCAGGTCTAGAGAAGAGGGGGTCTTATCAGAACTCTCAGAGACGTCTGGTCTTCTGATAACCTTCTTATCCCGGTGGTCATGGGCTCTGGTTCCTCTATACCCGCCGACTCTCCTTTGGGGTGCTTACTCGGGAATTTGGAGGGTCTTGATTTAAAACCCAAACGGCTAATTCGCTTGTCTACTCAAATTTGGCCCCAATATAAATTAGGCAGTCAAAACGTCTGGCCGCCTAACGGCTCCTTTGAATTGGGTCTAATTAGAGACCTTTACAACTTATGCGAGCGACAAGGAAAATGGTCGGAGATCCCATATATCCAAGGCTTTTCCTATCTTGCTAATCAGCCCTCTCTCTGTTCCACTAAAACTGCTCCAATACTTTTGCTGACTCAAAGCCTTTCTGCCACCAACTCTTTTTCTGACTCTCCCGCCCAACCTGATCCAGCAGATCCCCCTCCTTATCCTGCAGCAAAAATTCCTTCCACTCCTTCCCCTACTCCATCTGACTCCTCCCAACCCTCTGAATCTCCCACCTCTCTCATTTCCTCTGGACCTCCCACTGCCCCACCTCATGCGCCGACTCCACCCCTCACTCGCTCCAGGTCACACAAGGGCCACACAATGGCGCCCTTGCGCGAGGTAGCCAGAGCTGAAGGAATTGTCCGCGTTCATACTCCTTTTCCT